TATCTACTTAACAACCAGTTGAGCTAACTTCTAGCCAAACCTCTCCCCACCAACACCCAACCCACCTCCGCACACCGCCGTTCCAAACCCTAGATTTCTCATCCCAATAACGCCTAACACCAAAACGAAAACTCGTTCATCCAAAGCTAAAAAAAATCAGCACGAAAGCGGCGCGGAAGGAATGGGGGGAGAGAGAGAGAGAGAGAGAGCAATAGACTCCACCGACCTGGCGGGCACCGGCGATCGCCGGCGCACGGGGGGAGGGGGCGCGGGGCGGAGGAGGCAGGCGACTTGCGGTGGACTGCGGCTTCGGGGAGGGTTGGGGAATCGCGCGGAGGACGGGGAAGACGAGGCGAGAGACGAACGAGGAGACGAGGAGACGAGAAGCGGGTGGGGTGTTTCCAGGAGACGTGACGGGATCGGGGACAGAATGGAATCGTACTGGACGGGGGATCGTGTTTATTCGTTTCGTTTATCCATGGGTTTGGCTTTGCTTTGCTTCGCGTGGGCGGCTGCTGCTGCGCGCGCGTGGCCTCGCGTTGTGCTGGTCGCCAACGACGCCAAGTAACTGGGACCTGGGGGCCATGGGGCTTGGGCTTGCCGGCGCGGTGGATTTCCGGATGAGGCTAACTAATTAAAAATTGACTAACACTAATATTGCCATTTGGGGAACGGATTTGTTGTCTCTTCGTTTCGTCGTACTGCTATATATTTTGGTTGGGTTGGTGCAGATGGCACGTTAATTTTAATCTGTTGAAATCGAAGGCTTGAAGCCACTTCGCAGATGATTCACAATTTAGCCTCTCTCATCATTCACAGCAGATTTCGTCCTTACAAAAACAATTAGCAAATTGACTACTCCCTCGTTCGTTTCAGGTTATAAGATGTTTTGATTTTTGTTAAAGTCAAACTACTTTTTATTCATATTTAACCAAGTTTATAGAAAAAAATAAGTAATATTTTCGACTCAAGATAAATTTATTATAAAATATATTTAATTATTAATTTAATAAAACTAATTTGATAAATATAAATATTATTATATTATCTATAAACTTAGTCAAATTTGAAACAGTTTGATTTTAACCAATATCAAAACATCTTATAACCTGAAATGGAGGGAGTATGAGAATGAGACTAGCGTACTATGGTGGTATTCTCTTCTAGAGAAAAATAAGGATGAAATTAGTTAGGAAAGAAAACTATTAGCACATGATTAATTAATTTTAATTATTATAAAGTTAAAATATAAAAATTATTTGATATTTTAAGATAACTTATATATAAAAAAATTTAATACAAAACACATAATTTAACAATTTGAAGAACATACTAAAATAAACCGAGTTTAAATATATATGAAAGAAACAGCATCGTATATCTCCTCTGCGGAAATATGCCGCGCGGTGGAAAAGAGGGCAGCTAGCGCACGGGATGCCGTGCAAAACTAAAGTCATGGGATAATTAGACACTCGATAAATTAATAGATCTTTCCAACCGCGTCACCTATTGTCCACATGATTCCTCGTTGCTTTCCTCAGCCAGATCCTCCTCAGTCTCGCGCGTGATACCTCATGGGCAGAGCACTGTCGCAGCAGGCCAGAGCACCAATGCCCTCTTCCTCCAAGATCCTTGGTATCGCTCCCCCCACGTCTTGAACCATGCTTCCGATACAGAGAGTGACCTCGGTTGCGGCAATAGTAGGGAACAAGGATCGAGCCGAGTGGAAGGGAGAAGAGGAGTAGTAGGGAACAAGGATCGAGTCGAGGGGAAAGGAGAAGAGGAAAGAGGGCATGTACTTGATACCTCGTAGTTAGCCATACCTCGCAACCAACCATGATACCTAATACCTCGTAGCCAGCCATGATACCTGATGCCTCGCAGCTAGCCATGATACTTGATACCTCGCAGGTACCATGTATCAGGTTTGATACCTATGGGTATCAGTCATGGTACCACATGTACTAAGCATGGTACCTACAGGTACTAGGTCTGATACCTAGATATCAGTGATGATACCACATGTACCATACCTACGGGGTATCGGCTATGGATAATACATCATGTACCTGCACACACTCCGACAATGAGCATATGATGGCTCACCATCGCGTCGCCGCCAATGAAAGCTCTACATCTAGAAGCTTCATGGTCATGCCCCTCCATCACCATCAGCAACGCGTCTAGGAGTTCGAGAAGCCCACGTTGGTCAACATCCTTCCCGACAGCCTCCCTACTTCCTGGTTGCCCCCTTCCGCCATGGGAGCCTAGATGTAGTGGGTGTCCATGCCTCAAAAGCTTGAGACGGAGGAGGAGGCAACATGACCTTGTAACCAACGTGCACTCGGGGTAGATCCAACAGTGAGGAGGAGGGGGAGGGGATTCGTTTTCGGGGGCCTGCTTCGCCGTCGCCATGCATGCATAGAGGAGCTCTCTGCAACAGAGAGAAGGGAAAGGGAAAAAGGAGGGCGGAATAGGAGAGGCGGATGAGGAAGACGAAGACTGGGAAAGAGAAGACAAATAGATAATAACGAAGCGTTACCCACTTATTCCGTTTCCACGGGATACGGTTGGGTAGTTTTTCTGGGTGGAAAAAGCCAACGTACTAGTCCCTCCGCCGCGCGGTGGAAAAAGCCAACGTACTACTCCCTCTATCCAAGATTATAAGGGACAATGGCCCCTTGGTTTGTCTCTAACTATAGGGGATTCTATCAACTCATCTGACAAGCAGGAGTAGTGCTGTTTAATTTTGGGAGGAATGTTTAAAATTTGAGTAGATGTGGTGGAAAAATATGCTCTGACAAACTCATGTCAGATTTTTTTAAGTTCATTCTAAACCTGCCAAAACAATACTTTATTCTCTAAAGTACATTTTGTAGTTCGTTGAATGTTCCAATGTATACTCCCTCCGTCCCATTCTAGTACTGAATGTGACATATTCTATTACACTATGAATTTGGACACACATATATTTAGATTCGTAGTACTGTAATATGTTACATCCGGTTTTAGATTCGTTTTTTATGGGACGGAGAAAGTCCTTCCATATGTCCATTTATCCGCTTTTTCATCTTCCTTAATTAATACTAAATAGAAAATAATCTCTCATAATTTTGGACGGATGGACTAGTACGTTACAACGCGCGGATGCACGCGTGTCGCTGCGTACAGCCGACCGCGGCTACGCGTCACGCGTTACACGCGTCCACCCGCAAAATCCCCTTGGTTTGTTCCTAAGCCACCAGCCACCGGGCCACGCGAGGCAAGCGGTGCGCCGCCGCCGCCGCCGAGGACTCGAGGTGCAACTGTGTGCAAGTCCCGTGCAGGCCGTCTGATCTCATGGGCCAGTTGAAGATTAGGATTCAGTCCAAATAGGGGATATGTATCTGTTGGGCTGCATGACATGGCCAGGCCCAATGAAGATGGCCTCATGAAACAAGGCCTGTTCCTGGGCCAGTAGGCCAGCCTAATCGTCTGAAATGGCCCGTCGACGCGAGAATGCTACCTAGCGATCCCTGGGCGATCAGATTTTGATCCCCTCTCTCCACCTGGTTTTCTTTGTTGGCACCGTGTTACTTTTTTATTTTAGTAAATTTGTGCACCTAAAGTTTGTACACCTCAAGTTTACACATCTCCATAAATCTTTTTAAAAAACAAAAAGTTAGAAAAATTTATGTATAGAAATATATATATATATATATATATATATATATATATAAAATTTGAATTCAAATTCAAATTTGAATCGGGTATGTAAACTTTTGACTTATAAACTTTGGGTCTATAAACTTTAGGTGTATAAACTTTATATGTATAGAAATACTATATATATATAATATTTGAATTCAAATTCAAATTTGAATCAGATATAATTCAAATTCAAATTTGAATCAGGTATGTAAACTTTTGACTTATAAACTTTAGGTGTATAGAAATACTATATATAGAAAATATTTGAATTCAAATTCAAATTTGAAACGGGTGTATAAACTTTAGGTCTATAAACTTTAGATGTATAGAAATACTATATATATAAAATATTTGAATTCAAATTCAAATTTGAATCGGATATATAAACTTTTGGTCTCTAAATTTAGATGTGTAAACTTGAGGTGTATAAACTTTAGGTGCATAAATTTACTAAAATAGGAAAATAATGCGGTGCGGTGGAGGGAGGGAGAGGGGGAGGGGGATCGATCGCTACCCCCATCGCCACCCATTAGGTGTACCCTGCCCACATCTGACTGTTCGTGACACTAATATTTGGTTTGTTCATCCCTCAAAAAAAAAAAAGAGGTTTGTTCATGGCTAGAAGATTCGTTGGCAATACCACTACTACTGTTAAAGTGGAATCGTCCTCCTTTCGTTCCCTCCTGACACCACATGTAGCACCCGTACATTTCGCGTGTGCATCCATGTATCCAATATTTAGTTTTTCTTGATCGTCCTCTTTAGAGTCTTAGTCCAATAAATTGCTGTTACTATATACGGGATGTATTATCTTTTGAAAAAGAAACTCTCTCTGCTATTGGAAGCCTCCACTCAATTAATGGCATCCCAAGGAGAATCCCCCTGTTGAAACCAAATGGATATGATGCTCAAAGTCTCTGCCATGCCATGGAAGTCAGCCGCTTTCTCAGCTGTGAATCTCCGTAGCTTTCCAGAATAAAATGGTGAAGGACAATCAAGGCGTGAAGTCTGTTTCACGATACCTATAGGTACTTTGGATTGCTGATGTGCTATTCTCCAATTTCAACTTTAGCGCGCCAATGACCGTATGTCGATTTCGATGGGCCTGCAAAGGAACGGCGCCGTCCAGGTTTATTACTCCGTAAGTGGCGGAGAGAAAAAAAAGAAAGAAAAGAAAGGAGTGCAGGTACCACAACAGAAATAACAAGTTAGCACAACCAGCCACACGCCCCATATAGGGATGTTGATCTTGTGGTAACCTACGTGCAGTAAACAAAGCCACTAGAAGAACGACTACCAGAATAAAATGGTGAAGGACAATCAAGCCACTATAGAAGAACGACTAACTCAAGACTTTCTCAGTTAGATAGCTGCTGGCATTTAGTACTACCGTACAGGCACCCCTATTTGATCTCTCTTTCAGACATAAACAACAGAATTGTACTAGTATATGATTTTATTTACCAGTGAAGTGTTCCATTCCTAAAGATAACGGATTGTATGTAGCAAGGTAGCATATGGTGATGATCAGCTTATTAAACTGGTATAGCAACAGCCCGGAGTGGCGTAGCCAACTCTAGTATCATCCCGAACTTCTCCGCCATGTCCACCCCGTTCTTCTCGACCTCCGGTAGAAGCCTCCACTCAAACCGGTGCAGCAACGACGCGAGCATCAGGTACACCATGCGAACAGCCAGCGGCAACCCCGGACAGATCCTTCGACCAGAGCCAAATGGAATCAGTTCGAAGTCACGGCCACGCAGGTCCACCTCGCTCTGCAGGAACCTCTCCGGCATGAACTTGTCAGGGTCAGACCACACCTTGCTGTCCCGACCAATCGCCCAAACATTCACCAGAACACGGGTGCCCTTGGGCACCGTGTAGCCACCAACCTGTGTGGTCGTTTCGGCTTGGTGAGGAAGCAGAAATGGCGCCGGAGGATGAAGCCGTAATGTCTCCTTCACGACGGCTTCGAGGTACTTGAGCTGGCTAATGTCGGATTCCTCAATTTCTTGTTTGGAGCCAATCACTCGAGCAAGCTCCTCACGAGCTTTCGCCATTGCTGGTGGGTTCTGTAGCAGCTGAGCCATTGCCCATTCTACAGTTACTGCGCTTGTATCACTTCCCGCGCTAAACAAATCCTGCAGAAAGTAACCCGGGCAATCATGTTGTATACTTCGATAATTTAATTAGAGTTTTGGTGCAACGAGATTACTACATGGACATATCACATACTCTAAAATCCCAATGAATAATTCAGTAGCACGCACCGTAAACAGAAACTGTAGCGTTGGCCGATCAAAACCCCGGCCATCCTCCGGGCTGCGGTAGTCGAGCAAAGCGTCCAGGAAATCGTTCTTGGGCGGCTCCCCGGCAGCGCGGTCCCGCAGGCGCCGTTCGATGTGCCCGTCGAACACGGCCTGCAGCCGCTCGAACACCCTCGCCACCCGCCTCCGCAGCCGCTGCGGGTCGAGCGGCGCGACGGCCGGGAAGAAGTCCGACACGTTCGGCACCCCGACGACGATGGTGAACTCCGAGATCAAGTCCCTTAAGTCCCCCACCGACGACTCAGCTCGGGCGTCGCCGAAATCCGCGAGGTCGGCGGAGAAGATGGTGCTGGAGAGCAGGTTCAGGGAAGCCGTGAACGCGGCGCGGCCGACGTCGACGGCCGCGCCGTCGCGCGCCAGGCGCGCGACGTGGGACACGAGCTGGCGCACCTTGTCCCGGCGGAGGCGCTGGTGCGCGTCGAGGCTGCGCGGCGCGAAGAGCTCCGCGGCGCACACCCTGCGGAGCGCGCGCCACAGGGCGCTGCTGGGCGGGAGCATGCCCATGGAGAAGCCGTCGTGCCCGCACGCGCGGGCGGCGTCCGGCACGGAGCGCGCGGAGAAGGCGGCGTCGTGGCGCTGGAGGATGTCGCGGGCGGCGCCCGGGGAGGAGGCGACGACGGTGGTGACGGTGCCGAGGCGGAGCGTCATGAGCGGGCCATAGCGCCCCGCGAGGCGCGCGAGGGAGCGGTGCGGCTGGGAGCCGAGGTCGAGGATGTTGCCGATGAGCGGCTGCGGGCGGGGACCCGGCGGCAGGTTGCGGCGGGCGTCGACGAAGAGACGGAGGAGGTACAGGGAGGAGAGAAGGAGAATAACGCACGGCGTACACAAGAGGAGGAGCTCCATGATTGACCGTACAAAACGTGTGCAGGGTCGGAACGATACTCGTATGCTAGGGTGGATACTCCTGCTAATCTGCTAGTATATCTACTCCCATATAGAGTGTGTACTGGAAGAGATGGCAAGACACGCCAAAGATGTGCAACGTGTTTGATTTTGAGCCAACGAGAGAGGGTTTTCTGATATAGTCATTTAATTGGAATCGTACCATTATCATTTTACACATATAACCATTCGTCTTATTAAAAAAATTTACAATTATTATTTATTTTATTTGTGACTTACTTTATTATCCAAAGTACTTTAAGCACAACTTTTCATTTTTTATATTTGCACAAATTTTTTTAATAAGACGAGTAATCAAATAGCGCAACCAAAAAGTCAAAATCCCTTGTATTATGGGACGGAGGGAGTATGTCAGTACTTACCTCTTAGATGAATTTACAAAATGTTTGGGACCAAATTGTCATTTTCTCTTTCCTTCATCCTTCTTTCCCTTTGTCGGTACTTACCTTCAAGGCCGCCGCCTCCGTCTACTCCCGCTTCTGTAAAACTATATTGTATACCTTCGTGTGGTGTCTGTTAGGTTGGATAAGATAGAGTTTGTTAGGATGTTGTTAGTCTCATCTATCCAACTGAACAGATCACGTGTAATATGGATGTAAACCACGGTGATGGTTGTTATCACCATATATTAACAAAGGTGCGGCCTCTAACGAGGTTCAACGCTTCTGCACCTCTGATTTTCACATGGTATCAGAGCCCTTCCATCCACCAAATCGCATCTAATCCAACTCATGGTGAGTTCGTCGAAGACGGCGGCCAGGAACCCTCTCGGTGGAAACGCGATCTCGGAGAAACTCTCCAAATCAAACCATGTGCTTTGGAAAGCGCAGGTTATGGCTGTTGTGCGAAGAGCCCGCCTTGAGGGGCATCTCACCGGCACTACCAAAGTCCCCAACGCCCTGATCACGACGACAGCAGGCGACAAGGGAGAAAAAGAAGTCACGGCTCGTAATCCAGAATTTGATGATTGGATTGCAACCGATTAGCAGGTTCTAGGGTTCCTGCTCTCCACTCTAGCCAGGGACGTTCTGGCGCAAGTGGCCACCTGCAACACGGCTACAGCGGCATGGCAAATGCTGGAGGAGATGTACTCCTCCGTCTCGAGGGCGCGCTTCATCAACACCCGCATCGCCCTCTCCAACACAAAGAAGGGCACTCTCTCCATCAACGAGTATGTTTCCAAGATGAAGACTCTTGCTGATGAGATGACGGCTGCTGGCAAAGTCGTCGATGATGATGATCTCGTCTTGTACATCATCGCCGGCCTCGACGACACGTATGAACCAGTCATCTCCACCATCGTCGGCAAGGACTTCATGACCCTGGGAGAGGCGTACTCCCAGCTGCTCAGTTTTGAGCAGCGTCTCGCGCTTCGTCACGGTGGAGATGCATCTGCAAATCTGGCGAACCGAGGACGTGGCGGTGGTGGAGGACAGCAACGCGGCGACAATGCTGGAAACGGACGTGGTCGTGGCAACAACAACAATGGCGCCAACCGTGGCAGGGGGCGCGGCAACAATGGCGGCGCGCGTCCACCGGGAGGTGTCGACAACATACCCAAGTGTCAACTCTGCTACAAGAGGGGACACACGGTAATTAATTGCTGGTATCGTTACGATGAAGATTTTGTTCCCGATGAAAAATATGCAGGATCAGCAACTTCCTATGGGATTGATACAAATTGGTACGTCGACACCGGTGCGACTGACCATGTGACCGCGAACTGGACAAGCTCACAGTTCGTGACCGCTACAAGGGGCAAGATCAAGTTCACACCGCAAGCGGTGCAAGTATGGAAATTAGTCATATTGGTCATTCTACTGTTAAAACCCCGAACTGTGACATTCATCTTCGCAATATTCTATATGTTCCTAATTCAAATAAGAATCTTGTTTCTGCTAATAGACTTGTTTTTGATAATTCTGCTTACATGGAACTTTACTCTAAATATTTTAATCTCAAGGATCTGGCCACGAAGAAGCTTCTGCTTAGGGGGCCATGCCGAGGGCGCCTCTATGCCCTTCCATCTACATCATCTCATGAACGCCCTCGTCATCTAAAAGAAGCCTTTGGAGCCATCAAGCCGTCCTTTGAGAGATGGCACAGTCGTCTGGGTCATCCTTCCTCTCCAATTGTGGAGAAAGTCATTAGCAGAAATAATCTTCCGTGTTTAGATGAGTCAAATAAACAATCGGTTTGTGATGCATGTCAACAGGGTAAAAGTCATCAATGGCCATATTCTAGATCTTCTAGTATGTCAAGTTATCCTTTGGAACTTATTTATTCTGATGTTTGGTGTCCTGCCCTCACCTCTGTTGGGGGCAAACAATATTATGTGAGTTTTATTGATGATTTTAGCAAATTTACTTGGCTTTATTTGATTAAGCATAAGTCTGAAGTTGTTCAAAAATTTCATGAGTTCCAAGCTCTTGTTGAACGCCTGTTCAATAGGAAAATAATAGCCATGCAATCCGACTGGGGAGGTGAATATGAAAAACTTCACTCCTTCTTTACAAAGATAGGTATCACACATCATGTCTCTTGCCCACACACTCATCAACAAAATGGCTCAGCTGAACGGAAGCATAGACATATAGTAGAAGTTGGTCTCACACTTCTTGCATATTCCTCCATGCCCTTGAAATTTTGGGACGAGGCTTTCCAAGCCGCTGTATATCTTATCAACAGAACTCCTACAAAACTCCTCCAGTTTAGCACACCTCTTGAGCGCTTGTTTAATAAAACCCCAGATTATACTTCTCTTCGAGTATTTGGTTGTGCTTGTTGGCCACATATGAGACCTTACAACACACACAAACTCCAATTCAGGTCAAAACAATGCACCTTCTTAGGGTACAGTACACTCGATAAAGGATTCAAGTGTCTCGATCCTTCCACAGGTCGTGTTTATATATCCCGTGATGTTGTCTTTGATGAAACAAATTTTCCCTTTGCAAAACTCCACACAAATGCCGGCGCTAGACTTCGTTCAGAAATTTTGTTGCTTCCTTCACATCTTCTAAATCCAGCACCTAATCCTGGGGAACAACAGTTAGATGACAATATGGCTAATATTCCTGCTAACCCTGCTGATCAGTTTTTTGGAAGCAATGTGCAGCCTGTTTCTGCAGAAAATGATGAACCAGACGATCCTTCATATGCCACAGAAGATCCGGCCGAAGAAATCCATCCGGAATTCAGTGCAGCTGCAAAAGAATCGGCGTCGGGATCGCCGCCTGCATCAGATGCTGCCGCCAGCCATTCTAGCGCTGCCACGTCTCCGGATGTGGTACACTTTCCCGCCTCTCCTCATGTGATGGCGCCTACCTCTGCTGACAACTCCACGCCGAGTCACTCCGGTCCTGACACCGCCCTGCCTACCAGCCATCATGATGTTATGTCGCCATCACACAGTTCCGCAGGCGAGCCGTTTGCGACAGGGGAGGAAGTGATTCCAGCGCCATCTCGCCCAACCACTCGTCTGCAGAGAGGCATACACTGATGGCACAGTTAAATACAAGAATACTTTTCTTACTGTGACTGATGAGCCAGAAAATTTAACTGATGCCTTGAAAAATACAAATTGGAAAAAGGCTATGGATATAGAGTATGATGCTTTGATGAATAATGAAACTTGGCACTTAGTTCCACCTAGGCAAGGTAGAAATGTTATAGACTGTAAGTGGGTCTATAAAATTAAAAGAAAACAAGATGCTCGCCTAGTTGCTAAGGTATAGATTATGAAGACACTTTCAGTCCAGTAGTTAAGGCTGCTACTATTAGGATTGTTCTGTCTATTGCTATGTCTATGGGGTGGTGTATGAGACAACTAGATGTACAGAATGCTTTTCTTCATGGTTTCCTTGAAGAGGATGTATACATGAAACAACCACCAGGATATGAGGATAAGTCCTTTCCAGAGTAAGTGTGCAAGCTTGATAAAGCTCTTTATGGGCTAAAGCAAGCTCCAAGGGCTTGGTATTCTAGACTTAGTAAGAAACTGATCTGGGTTTTCAAGGATCAAAAGGAGATACTTCTCTGTTCTTTTACAATAGAGGAGGACTAATTATATTTGTTCTTATTTATGTTGATGATATAATAGTCACTAGCTCAAGACAGGAGGCAGTGTCAGCTCTTCTGCAGGATTTGAAAAAGGAGTTTGCCTTGAAGGATCTGGGAGATCTTCATTACTTCCTTGGTATAGAGGTAAATAAGATACCTAATGGAATAATCCTTACACAGGACAAGTATGCCTGTGATCTCTTGAGAAGGGTAAATATGTTTGATTGCAAACCAGTAAGTACACCATTGTCTACTAGTGAGAAATTATCTGCTCATGAGGGTGACTTACTAGGGCCTTTGGATGCAACAAATTATAGAAGTGTAGTTGGTGCTCTCCAGTATCTAACCTTGACTAGACCAGACATTGCTTTTCCAGTTAACAAGGTTTGTCAGTTCCTTCATGCACCAACCACTATTCATTGGGTTGCAGTTAAGAGAATCTTAAGATATTTGAAACATTGTACTAAACTTGGGTTGAAGCTATGCAAGTCCAAGTCTATGCTTGTTAGTGCTTATTCAGATGCAGACTGGGCAGGATCTCTTGATGATAGAAGATCAACAGGGGGTTTTGCAGTTTTTCTGGGAGACAACCTGGTATCTTGGTGTGCACGGAAGCAAGCTACAGTTTCCAGGTCTAGTACTGAATCAGAATACAAAGCTCTTGCTAATGCTACAGCAGAAATCATGTGGGTACAAACTTTGTTGACAGAATTACAAGTGCAAAGTCCACCTATGGCAAAGTTGTGGTGTGATAATCTAGGAGCTAAGTATCTTTCTTCTAATCCTGTTTTTCATACCAGAACTAAGCATATAGAAGTTGACTATCATTTTGTTCGAGAAAGAGTATCTCAAAAATTGTTAGAGATTGATTTTGTACCTACAGGAGATCAAGTTGCTGATGGCTTTACTAAGGCTTTGCCTGTTAGACAGTTAGAAAATTTTAAGCACAATCTCAACCTAGGAAGGTTGTGATTGAGGGGGGCTGTAAAACTATATTGTATACATGCGTGTGGTGTCTGTTAGGTTGGATAAGATAGACTTTGTTAGGATGTTGTTAGTCTCATCTATCCAACTGAACAGATCACGTGTGATATGGATGCAAACCACGGTGATGGTTGTTATCACCATATATTAATAAAGGTGCGGCCTCTAACGAGGTTCAACGCTTCTGCACCTCTGATTTTCATAGCTTCCTCTCCCTCCTCGGCGGCAAGCACAACATCCTCCCTAAGGCTGTCCTTGAGCTCACCACACAGGACCTCCGCCAGATCAGGGTCTCCCCTCGCAAGGCCTCCTACCTCCACGACCTCGCTCGCAAGTATACCTCTGGGATCCTCTCCAACGTCGTTGTCGTCAACATGAATGCCCGCTCCCTTGCCTGCTTGCCACCATGGTCAAGAGCATTGGCGCCTGAAGCGTCCACATGTTCATTTTTTCCCTCAATCGTCCCGATGTGCTCCTCGTTGCCGACCTTAGGGTGCGCAAGGGCGTGCAGCATGTCTACGACCTTGATGTCGTGCCCTAGCTGCCGTAGATGGACAAGCTACGAGCAGTGACGCCCTTACCGATCTGCCGGGGCATGGTACATGTGGCAGTAGGCTCATCGAATTCAAGGCGCCGTAGCTGCCGCCGGCCATCCCTATCAGGTCACCTGCACTGCCTAAGCATGGTGATGACCTCATGCTCTAGCAGCAGCATCAGCAACAGAGTGTCTTCCAAATGATTGATCCTCTTCAGATGCTCCCAAGGATGGGTTGAATTTGGTATATGTTATGTAGTTCTACTCATTACTTCTCGGTATTAGTTGGGTCCTAACTCTGTCAATCCAATGATTGTTTTATGTACCTATCGTTCTGTGTTGGGGGAGATTGGAAGAGAGTAGAACTAAAAATGAGGGCAGCGGGGAGGCATCGCCGGCGGTGGGATTCGGGTGGAGGACAAGACCAAGAGTAAGGGGAAATGATGAGGGAAGAGAGAGGTAGAAGACGAGGGCGATTTCGTCTAATACATGTGAAATATGAATTTCAGTGGCACCATTGAGATTACAAACAAGTAACAGTGGCATCGTTACAAATACACAAACAGTAATGACATATTTCCAAACTAGGATATTTTTAATGCTATGATCCAATTAACCAAAAAATAAAGTGCTTGTTTATCGTCACTTACAACCTTAATAAATTTTGGTACTGCTCTTTCCATTTCATATATATTATAAATTGTTTTGACTTTCTTTTAAACTTCTTTAAGTATGACTAAATTTATAGAAAAAGTTAGCAATTTCTATAACACTAAATTGGTTCAATCAAATATAACATTAAATATTTATTGATAATATTATTTTTTTTATATTGAAAATGTTACTATATTTTATTATAAACTTGGTTAAAGTTTAAAAAAATGACTAGGAAAAAACTCAAAACTATAGTATGAAACGGAGGGTGTACCAAATTTTGGTAACGCAACAAACTAAATACAGTGCTACCAAAATTTATTAAGGTTCCTCTCTTAAAACTCTACCAAAATTTGGCAAAGGCATAAAAGCAAACAAAAACAACACAGTCGAAATTTGGTAATGCCAATACAAAATTTGATATGATTGATTAGGGCAACAAATTAAACAAGCTCAACAATAATTATACTCTAGTAGTATCGATCACTATCTCCATCCTAAATATATATGTTTATTTTTCTATGTGAATATTCAATAACCGGTGTAGATTAATTAATATATTTGATCACAAGATACAATTGTATATAGGGAATGCATGTATCCAGCAAAAAGTATCAAACAAGTGAAAACTGGAGCTCAAATTTCTATAAATTCCTAAAACAATTATTAGGTGTAACCGTGAAATATATTTTTACCAAATTTAAAGTTCAAACTCAACTTTATTTTGGAGTAAAAAAGACAATTTTTGGATAAATAGTAACAAAATAATATTTACCTGAAATTTGTCATCTTTTTTGCAAAGATGCCCATATTATTTTCACCACTGTTTTTAACTGGGTTTTCTACCATTTCCGACCTTACTGATTTCAGGTGGTTCGGTCAGTGAACATCAGAAACAAGTGTTGATCGGCCGGTAATTTTTGTGTACGGTTTTTATACATAGTCAAATTGGTGTAGCAATAGCTTGGAGGGGCGTAGCCAACGTCATTACGATCCCAAATTTCTCCTCCATGTTCACCCCGTTCCTCTCAACCTCCGGCAGAAGCCTCCACTCAAACCGGTGCAGCAACGATGCGAGCATCAGATGCACCATGCGAACAGCCAGCGGCAACCCGGGACAGATCCTTCGGCCGGAGCCAAATGGAATCAGCTCGAAGTCGCGACCACGGAAATCCACCTCTTTCTGCAGGAACCTCTCCGGGATGAACTTGTCAGGCTCAAACCACACCTTGCTATCTCGGCCAATCGCCCAAATATTCACCATAACGGTCGCGCCCTTGGGCACCGTGTAGCCTCCGATCTCTGTGTCCGTCTCGGCTCGGTGAGAGAGCAGCAACGGCGCGGGAGGATGGAGCCGGAAAGTCTCTTTCACGACGGCCTGAAGGTACTCGAGGCTGTCGATGTCGGATTCGTCGATTTCTGGTTTGGAGCCAATCACTCGAGTAAGCTCCTCCCGAGCTTTCATCATGGATGATGGGCTTTGTAGCAGCTGAGCCATTGCCCATTCTACAGTTACCGCGCTTGTATCACTCCCCGCGCTAAACAAATCCTACCAAAAAATACCCAGACATAAGTCAGATAATTTCATATTTGCACTTACACTTACCAGTGGTTAGCTACACTACTTCAAGAGTGCAACTCTCTCGTTTGCCGTGGCCATCGCAGTCGCAATGACACCCACGTTAAGGTTAAGGTCTGTTTGGAGAGCTTAAAATTCTAAGAAACAATTAGTTGATAGCAGCTTTTGAAAACATAGAAAAACTGGGTTTATCAGCTTCTGACTTCTATTCATTTTCTGGTTTATATAACTACAGTTTCTCATAATCTAAAAAAAAGCTGAACCGTTTAGGAAGCTTCCGATTCTGAAAAAAGTTGTAGCAACTATAAGCTCCCTAAACAGAGATGGAGATAAGGAGAGCACCAGAGCTGACCAATGAGAATGAGCTAAAACGCTATTGCCAACTCACAATCTAAAACAGTGTTCGGGAGGTGGAGCACATGAAAACTTGGTGGTTTATTAATGGTTAATTAACTAAGTATTAGCTATAAATAATTTAAAAAAGAATTAATATAATTTTTTAAACCACTTTCGTATAGAAATTTTTTGTAAAATTACAACATTCAATAATTTAAAAAGCGTGCATACGGATAACGAGACATATGAGTTGGAAAAGTAAAGAAAAAAACTCGGCCTAATATACCGGTATACCGTAAACCGTGACCGTAGCGTTTGCCGGTCGAACTGCCGGCCATCCTCCGTCGTGCGGTAGTCGAGCAGCACGTCCAGGAAGTCGTTCTTGGGCGGCTCACCCGCGTCGCGCTCCCGCATGCGCCGCTCGATCTGCTCGTCGAACTCAGCGAACAGTCGCGTGAACACCCTCGACAGCCACCTCCGCAGCCGCTGCGGGTCGAACGCCGCGACCGCCGGGAAGTAGTCCACCACGTTCGGGACACCGACGGTGCCCGCGAACTCTGCGACCGTGTCCGCTAACTCCCCCGCCGATCCGGCGCGTCCCTCGTCGAGGTCGGCGAGGTCGGCCGAGAACAGCGTGCAGGAGAGCATGTTCAGCAAGGTCGTGAACACGACGCGGCGGACGTCGACGGCCGCGCCCTCGCGCGCCATCCTCGCGACGTGCGACACGAGCCGGCGCGCCTTCTCGCGGCGGAGGCGCTGCTGCGCGTCGAGGCGGCGCGGCGCGAAGAGCTCCGCGGAGCACACCTTGCGGAGGGCGCGCCACTGGGGGCTGCTGGGAGGGAGCCAGGGCATGGCAAACCTGTCGTGCCCGCACGCCCGGACGATGTCCGGAACAGGGCGCGTCGAGAAGGCGGCGTCGTGGCGCTGGAGGATGTCTCGGGCGGCGTCCGGTGAGGACGCGACGATGGTGGTGACGGCGCCGAGGCGGAGCGTCATGAGCGGGCCGTGGCGCTCCGCGAGGCGTGCCAGGGAGCGGTGTGGCTTGGCACCGAGCTCGAGGAGGTTGCCGACGAGCGGCAGCGGGCGGGGACCCGGCGGCAGGTTGCGGCGAGCGTCAGAGAAGAGCCGGAGAAGGTACAGGGAGGAGACGAGGAGAATAACACACGGCGCATACAGGAGCAGGAGCTCCATGATTGACCGTACAAATGTGTGCTTACTGCTTAGTTAGCCGCAAAACGGTGCGGCGGACTGGCATTGTATATTGAGATAAGGTTGGGGGCGAGGAAAATGAGAATGATAGTTATGATATGATTAATTAAGTTTTAATTATTAAAAACTTAAAAAATATATTTATCTTATATTTTAAGCAATTTTTATATAAGAAGTAAAAAGCATTCGTAGGAAATATAAGATAAATACTAAATCAATCTTAATAGAGAAAAACAAAGGTTTGAGTAGTGACGGTTTTCTCTTGCCATGGTTAGTCCTTGTACTGTTCTTTATCTTTACGGGCCAAGCTTCTCCATTATACTTTCCATCCTATAAAAGCATCTCAAACAACATCTCTATTCTACTCTCTAAGCTAAAATTTAGCTAGTGTAGATAAATTTACAGCTTCAACAGACTTGCTAGCTGGATGGCTTGTCCATCTGGTTGGCCAAACCCATCCCCTCGCTGACCAGTCGTGCACAACAAATGGCATGGGGCAAGACAGATCGAGAAGGCTGCAAGTGGCGGCGTCCCACGCTGATTCCCGTCTACCGCTTGCCTGCCGCGTGCCGATTCCTGTCGTCGGCCACCCCGTCGTTGTGCGGAAAGAAAAACAACCAACTGCAGTGCTGCCGGCTCAAGAAGGAGAGTGAGAAGAGGTAGTGTGCGGACTCTCTGACGTCAGAGACGGGGATCTTCTGGAGCAAGGTGGAGCCGTCGCCGCCGCTATTCGACTACCTACCCATCGACGCCCACACCAAGTCTGTCACCACCGCCGGTCTCCGTCCATTCCCTTCGCCGATTTCCTCGCCTCCCCTACCAACGCGAGTAGCAGTAGTGTCGCTACCATTCATGCCGCTGCCGCAGCCGGGCGCGGTCGCTGGAGCGGCAAAGCTTTGCCGCTCCGTCTGCCATGCCTATTGACTACCTCTCTCTTTCTCCGGCGTTGGCCGCCTCACCTACATCGTCGCCTTCGACAGCCTCCCCCTCCGGCGCTGGCCACTCCGCCATCATCTTAGCGCTGCCAGTGGTGAACCATGGTCCGTGGATAGAGATTATGGAGTGGAGAGGTTGTGGAGAGAAGGGGAGGAAGAAGGAAAGATTTGGATGGAAGAAAAAAACATATAAAGATTGATATGTGGGATCCATTGTCAGATTGGAGAGCGTAATAGAAAGATTATTAGGTTGAAGATAAATTTGGCTGGGGGTGTTTAGATGGGGCTAAAACTTTTTAAGTCCATGTCACATCGAATGTTTGGACGCTAATTTGAAGTATTAAATATAGACTAATAAAAAAACTAATTTCATAAATGAGAGCTAATCTGCTAGACGAATTTTTTAAGCCTAATTAATCTATAATTATGAAAAGTTTACTGTAGCATCACATTGTCAAATCATGATGTAATTAGACTCAAAATATTTGTCTCGCGAATTAGTCTAAGGTTATGGAATAGGTTTTATAATTAGTGTATGTTTAATACTCTAAATTAATATCCAAACATCCGATGTGACAGGTACTTAAAATAAGTCCCTGTTTTTCAAACAGGCTCTAATTATTTTGCAGGCTGATCAAATGGGTATTTGAAGGGTCATATTTAGAGATGGAGACGTTTTAAGGCTGTAAGTGGGATCCCTTAGCACCTGTCATTTTTATTTTAAAAGACATTTCCTTCCGGACTAAAAATGCCCCTGCAGCAATCTGTGCTAATAGTACAATTAATAATACCCAAGGAGCAACAACTCAACAGTCAACACAAAACTCGCAAATTTTCTGCCATCCAGACTCTGTTCATCCGCCGAATGAACTCTTCGGCTCGGAGCATAAGCTCGTCTTCCAGTTCCACGTCGTCTCCGTGCTTCTCTTGCGATGCATCCGTAGCTGCAGGCTCTTCCTCTCGTGCCGCACTTCTGCCGTTTTCGCTCGCCAGTGTCTCAACGTTGTCCCCGTCGCCTGCTCGCACCAGCCATTCTTCCGCGCGGCCATTGACGCCGGCAACGGGACCCTTGTGTCCTCCAGGGTTCATTTCCCTCCCTTGCACCACTGCATCAGCTTCCAAACTGCGATCTCCGTCAGCGCGGCTGCTGATCTCCGGGGCAGCGCCTGCGCCGCTGCCGGCGAGGAGGAGGAGAGCGATTATGAGATGAGAGACGCAGAATGCCAGCAGCGACGGGCTGGAAGAAGACGCCCAGAGCGCGATCAGCTCGACGGTGGAGTTGAGCATTTTTGGAGAACGGAGTGTGTGTGCAGCTCAGCAGCTTGATGGTGATCCTTGGCGCCATGGCTCTTATATATCCTTGGTGTTCGAATCGAATTGTGCAGAGGAAGACCCGGACAGAATCGAATTGTGCAGAGGAAGATTCTGAGGCGTGGACCCTGTGGCCTTGTGGGGTCGTGGCCCGGTGGCCCCTGGACCTTTTCATTATCGATTCCTTCCTACGCAAAAATCATTTTCGCTAATTGAAGAGGTCAGCAGATGAGAGCACGTGGCCACGTGGGTGGACCCTGTAAAGTCTGGATCAGACGGGAGACCCATGGGTCTTCCAGCGGAAGACAGCTGAGGGCATGTTTAAATCCCATTTTTTACCCTGTCACACTAAACGTTTTAATATCTTTATAAAGTATTAAATCTAGGCTAAAATATAACTAATTATACAGATTGTGACTAATTTACGAGACGAATCTTTTAAACCTAATTGCTCTATGATTTGATAATGTGGTGCTACAGTAAACATTTGTTAATGGCGGATTAATAAATTCGTCTCGTGATTTATTGACGGATTATGTAATTAGTTTTTTATTAGTGCCCGAATACCCTATGCGACACCCTGTATATAATACCTGATGTGACACGCCAAAACTTTATATCTAAACACCCCCTTAGACAAAGGATTTGGCGACACACACGATGAGTCGATGATTTCTATACTCGAACTATAAACTTCAATTTCCTCGTTTTCAACATGCTTCAATTTCCTCGTTTTCAACATGCTTTCTAACAGTGCATTTTTATAAAATTCTTTTTTAATAAGTTACAATAACTAATATTTAATTAATCGTAAAATCGAAAAGAGCCCTCTTGATTTAGTCATAACAAGCGACCCCATCAACTATTATCTAGATATGTGTTAATTGGAGAATCTTACTTAACTGTAGTACTAAGGCCATCAAGCAAATAGAAAACCTATGCTTCAATAAAAATTTTCTCTTAAATTACTCATACAATCTACGAACCGATTACACTGTTGTATTCGTAACAATTAAATCTTTATAACAAGATCTCACATGATTATATTTTGATGAAAAATTATAAATTACTTTCATAGGGCATGTTTAGATCAACTGGCAAAATTTTTCATGCTTCAATAAAAATTTTCTCTTAAATTACTCATACAATCTACGAACCGATTACACTGTTGTATTCGTAACAATTAAATCTTTATAACAAGATCTCACATGATTATATTTTGATGAAAAATTATAAATTACTTTCATAGGGCATGTTTAGATCAACTGGCAAAATTTTTCACCCTATCAGATAAAATGTTTGGACACATGCATGGAGCATCAAATATAAATGAAAAAAAAACTAATTACACATATTACGTGTAAATTGGAGACGAATCTTTTAAGCCTAATTGCTCTATGATTTGATAATGTGGTGCTACAGTAAACATTCTAATAATGGATTAATTAGTTAATAAATTCGTCTAGCAGTTTATAGGCAGAATCCGTAATTTGTTTTGTTTTTGTCTACGTTTAATATTTCAAATGTGTATATGTATATTTGATGTGACACGCCAAAACTTTTCACCCCTAGATCTAAACAAGGCCGTAATATATCTAAATTACTTTTAGATTTCACTAAATTACTTCTTATAGATATATAAAATTAAATTTAATAAAGTCTAAAAGTTATTTAAATATATTATAAAAAGTAACTTAAAATAAAAGGATTTTAAAAGGAAAGTAATTTTGTCATGATATTAGAAGTAAATCCGTTGTAGGGTTAAAAACATGACTATCTATAAATTAAATTAATCAGCAAAAATGATGGAATTGATTAAAAACAACAATAAAAGTAATCACCTTATAGCAGTATGAATGTACGGGAAGTAATTTAATCAAATTTAAAAGTAATGTATGTATACGATAAAAGTACGTATATAATAAAAGTGATTTACAAATATAAATATTTTTTCCATCATAATATAATTATGTAAGATCTTATTGTACAGATTTAATTGCAACGAATATAACGGTGCAATAAAATCATAGATAGAAAATTTTATTTGAAATTTACATCGGTAACGAGGATGCCATTATTTAAGAGAATTTTATTTGAAACTTAGATGGGTAATGAGGATACAGTAAGAAGTAAGAAGGGTAACGATGTTTTTTTGGTAAAAATGATGGTAGCTGGTTACACTATACTTTTTTTTTGGGTAAAAATGGTCACTGGTTAGCACTGGTGCAACTCGCGCCCTCAATTAATTATTAATTACTCCCTCCTGTTCCGCACCGCAAATTGTAATTATTAATTACTTAATTTTTTTTAATAAAATAAATGGTCAAACACGTACTAAAAAGTCGTACTAAAAAGTTAACGGTGTCAAACATTTTGAAACGAAGGTATGTTCTAATAAGCTTTCCTGTTTCGCACCGCAAATAGTCTTCCCTTGCCATCAAACGAACAAAAACAAAGCCCTAGATAGCGTAACGCAGTTTATTCCCTAAACAGCTACCTTCGTGAAACACAACCATACATGCCTCCGGGTGCATCAGCGTCAGCTGGCAGCCAGGGCAACCTTAGCAAAGAAGCGGGTGCCGCTGTCAGATCCAAACATGGTGTTGAACTTTGCTTATAACGTTTAATATAATCATTTGTGTTCCTTCAAATCACGCTTGCGCCACGCAACATCAAAATTAAGCGTTTTGTGGGAGCATGTCCACCCACATCTGACCGTGGGGAATTATTGCTCAAACCCTCACAATCTTCACAAAATTTACGGAAACGAAGTGGTTCTATTCCCATCTAGTAGGGCTCCACTGGTGCACGGAATTTGGCTCCGGCATAGACGGCAGCAGCACCAAGCTCCTCCTCGATCCTAAGAAGCTGCTCCAATTTAAAGAGGGGAAATATGAGTTAGTTAGATGCACCAAAACCTCAAAAATTAAAAGTGTCGTTAGCCAACACCAGGCAAGTTTACACAAACGCACTGAAATCAACATGTACAAAGTATAGCAGCAGAACTAGTGTAATTTTGCACATCAACCAACAGTACAGAAGTATAGCAAAAGAGGGTTGAACATATTCTTGCCTGGTTGTACTTGGCAAGGCGCTCAGATCTGCAAGGAGCTCCAGTCTTGATCTGGCCCTGTTTCATGACAAAACATTGATGCATTTCCAAGTTATCATCACCATTAAGAGCGGATCTCACAAGCTCTTTCAAAAGATAAGCGGCCTATATTTGTTGAAGCACACTAAAGAAGGCACGCAAAGTATATACCGTGGATAAACCAACTGCCAGATCAGCAATGAATGTATCCTCAGTTTCACCACTGCAACCAAATCAAGGAAATTAAATATTGAAGTCAGGAAAGAAGGTAGGACATACAAGACGCAGAACAGTAAATAAAAAAAACAGCATATGCATACCTCCTGTGACTGGTCATCACACCCCAGCCAGCACGTTTTGACATCTTGACAGCCTCAATGCTCTCAGTAACAGATCCAATTTGGTTAACCTAAACCATATAAACAGGTCACAAGATTATTACGCTGGCAAACCGATATGGCTAATTTGAATACAACCTTAAACAGTATGTACCTTAAGGAGAAGAGCATTGCAGGCCTTGTCCTTAATTGCCTTGGCTACCCTCTGCAAGTCAAATTGGTTTGAATATTGAAGCCAACAAGGAAACTGAAAAAAGCAGTATATAAGTCATATGATTAGCAAGTAACATACAGTTGGGTTGGTGACAAGGAGATCATCTCCAACAATCTGCACTTGATCTCCAATTTCTTCGGTCATCTTAGCATAGTGAACCCAGTCATCCTGATCAAATGGGTCTTCGATCGAGACAATTGGGTATTCACTAACAAATGACTTGTACACATTCTTCAGGCTATCTCCAGATATCTTCTGGGAACCATCATTGTTCTAAACAAGGAAACAAGCATCATAAATGGGGGCATTAAAACTTCAAAAAATTTCAAGGGGAAAAAACTGACATTTACCTCTTCCTTGAAGTTAAGATCATAGGTTTGGTCCTCAGTGTAGAACTCTGAAGCAGCAACATCCATCCCAATGACAACCTGGCATATCAGTACAAATAACATTCCATACCAAATGTCAGAAATTGAAGTGCCTTAGCCCATAACCATCAAATTAATTTAGCCAGTTGTATGCTCAACAAACCTTGCCAGTGTATCCAGCCTTTTCAATTGCAGTCTTCAAAAGCTCAAGGCCCTCCTTGTTTTCCTACAATTCCATAGATGGCAAATATATAAATTCAGAATTGACTACTAGCTAATATCTAATATTTTATAACAGCAGATTGGACAATGCGATTCCTTACTTACACAGTTCAAAATTCAATATGATATAGAGATGCTCTTGTATATCCAAAATAATAGTATGAAACAAATAGGACAAAACTCTTAACAAACTTTTATGGTACTGAAATATAGTTTCTGAGCTCACATTTTGAAGAGACTGCAACTAGGTTGCAAACCGAAACAACATATAAATTAAAGCAAGAAAAAAAGATAAATATGCTTTGGAGTGTTGGAGGGAAAATATAACAGGTAATACGTGTAAAAGAATTTGAAAGTACATATGACAGACATGTGCAAACAAACAAACAACAACCTGAATGTTTGGAGCAAAACCACCTTCATCACCAACATTAGTAGCATCTTGCCCATACTTCTTCTTGATAACAGACTGTAGAACATGAGATATATTGAGTGTTAATTTTTGCACAACAATCCAGTTCCTTAAAGAAATGTCAAGAAAGTGACCTTTAAGTTATGGTATACTTCAACACCCATCTTCATAGCCTCCTTGAAAGATGAAGCACCAGTAGGGAGGATCATGAACTCCTGTACAGAATTTCAAACATAAACTACAATCTCTGGAAAAATCACTAGAGAAGAATTATTATATGTGCATTTTTGTTGAGGCATTGCCTGCATAGCTAGCTTGTTTCCAGCATGTGATCCACCATTGATGACATTGAAAGCAGGCACAGGCAAAACAAGTTGCTTGTTACCAGCAAGGTTAGCAATGTGCTGCAATATAGAAGGCACGTAATGGTATAAGAAAACTGGTTAGTGGAAAGAACAAACTGTGTGCATTCAAATATAAAAATATAAAACGAGTTCTCCCATACTTGATACAACGGAATTTTCTTGATAATAGCTCCGGCTTTGCATAGAGCAAGTGAGACAGCCAGGATAGCATTAGCACCAAGCTGAATTTCAAAAAATTATAGTCAGATAGCAGTTAGCACTATTAAATGAGTGCAGTGTCATGCAGCGCTACAACATAACACAACATCCACAACAATTCTGCAGTACCTTTTGCTTGCACCAGCCCCACTCGTTTTTGGTTCCATCCAGTTGCTGAACCATGAAGTTGTCAATGACAGTCTGTTCTGTAGGGTCCTGCAAAGCCAACAGAATATGTAAACATACATGAATTTAATACTGTAATATGCACAGAAATATGGTAGGGAACACATACCTTGCCAATCAATGCTGGTCCAATAATAGAGTTCACATTGTCAACAGCCTGTTGAAATAACAAACGGCATGTAAAGATGAAGGCAGACATCCATAGAAATGTTAAAAATTTAAAAGATCGCACAACGCATGATGCAAGAGGGGGGGCTAAGTAAAGTAGGTCATACAATTGCACTTGCACACAATGACTATCTCAGAGTAGTTGGAATGAAATACAAAATATTAATAGCACTTTCTGTCATTCAGACCAAAACATTCAGAAAGAGACAGCTCTAAGAATAATGAATGTTGAATATATTAGCTGGTGAAATGAAAGTGAAACTTGCTTGTGCAACGCTACATATAGAAAACATCTAAGGTGATCATTCCACAATCTTTATTAGTATAGACTATAGAATATACAAGGCCTGCATTGTGAGTGCATAGCTGCATAAGCAATTAAATAATCATCCGTGCTAGTTGTAAAGAACCACAAAAATGCAGCACAAATGAAAAAACAATAACAATATGTTAGGCACAGATGACAACACGGAAGTAGTGGATACAAAAAGTCACAAAGCTATCAAAGATAGTATAGATTAATTGCAGAAAACAGCTAACCGAAATCTTCTGACAGGAATGTGTTAAAGGACAAACCTTGAGGACACCCTTTCCCAAGTAATCAGAGCCACCATCCCTCAATTCCAAAGCTTCATATACACCTATAGTGTAGCAGAAAATAGCATCAGTTCACTTTCTAACTAATAAAATTGTCACCCGAAGCTTTCCATATAGTTGATATAAGCTGAAAAGGACTATCAAAAACTAAGTTGGTTCAATTAACCAGATGCATCAAGGCTAGAACCACAGTAGGGAAAAGAAGTTGCTGATAAACAAACAACTCACCAGTAGATGCACCGCTAGGCACAGCAGCCCTCGCAAATGTTCCATCCGAGCAGCAAATATCAACCTGGCAACACAAGCATCATATTTTAGTAAGACCATTTAGTTGCCAAAACCATTCAAAACTATTGATTTAGTCCAATAAAACAAACGAATTCTGTAACAACTGTATGCTCATATCATGAAATCCTGGAACAAAAGCACCAAGCAACACGATATCTAACAGTGGCAATATGTTCAAAGCAACCATCTGTTGCAGATATAGCGCAAATTCCAAAATCAAAGCGCAGTTCGACGTGCAACTAATCTCTAGGTACACAGCAGTAGATTGGATCGAGTAGGGATCGAGCATAACTCAAAGCCAAAGCCGACTGAGCCGACAGAAATAAACCGATCAGAGCCCAATCCACCCTTCGCATGGCCAAATCGGAGCAGGGGGCATCAACATTTACAATTCACAAACCACACAATTCAGGACTCTAAGCCGGTTAGCCACATCGCACACAGTGATTAAACAAACCCTACTACGGGAACTCCAATCCGAACCGCTCTAACCAACAGACCAAGATCGCGGAAACTCCAATCCGAACCGCTCTAACCAACAGACCAAGATCGCGGCATCGCGCTAAGAAAGCACCCGATTCAATCGCCGCGACGCCCTAGACAGAACGAAACTGGACCCGCGGCGTACCTCGACGGTGGGGTTGCCACGGCTGTCGAAGATCTGGCGGGCCTTCACGCTCTGGATGGTCGCCGCCATGGCCTGGATCGGATGGATCTTAGATCGGGGAAGGGGATGGACTTGGAGAGGAAGGCAGTGACGAACAGAGGATATAGGAATTTTCTGAGGTTTTGAGAACAGCGTCGCCTTTTTATGGGCAGCGTGTGCGTGGCTTTCGGCGGAGGAAGTGAGGGCCCACCCGATAACCGAAGAAGTGGCATCGCCGTCCTGCGGAGAGCATATTCGCCCGCGCCGCGGGGACTGCAACGCCGCAATTGCCGGGCCGTTGGTGTGGTGGCCCGTTTGTGGTGGCGTCGTTGCATGCGTATCTCCTTGGGAATAAGTTCACCTTTCATCGCTCAACTTTATGCTGAATCAGTATGACATCCCTAATCCCTAATACCAGAAATCTTCACTCTTCAAATCTTCATCCCTAATCATACTGCTGTGAGAACCACACGGTTTTGTATAGTTTATGGGTGAAGATTTCTGGTATTGAAGATTAGGGATGTCATACAAACTCGACGTAAAGTTGAGGGATGATATCTGAACTTATTCCTATCTCCTTGCAGCTGGTAGTCCAGCCCACGGGGAACCGCCGCAGCAGGGCCGCAGCTTCACATCTTGGGCTGTATTACTGTTCGTTCGTGTCGATGAATGCCAATCTGGGGTCACTATACGTGATGTTGCAAGTTAAGTTTTTTCTTTTGGTACTTCGAAATTTGAATCACGTCGAATATTTATCTGATCTTGGTAAGATTGGAGTACACAGATGGGAAGCACACACATGTCACTGCATCGAGTGAGAAAACCCGAGGATCTGCTACTGATATCTCCTGGACTCCTGCCATTTGCTTGGCTGTTTCTTTGCAACCTCCTCCGAATTCCAATCCTTCTGAAACGGAGAAAAACATGGCCGCTCAGTCGAGCATAGAGACGCTTCCATCTCTTAGCTTGAGCACACTTGTGGATTCAAAAAAGCATAAGGATCTGCACCGTTTTTTCACAGGTTCCACTGAAACGGGTTTTCCAAGTCTATAGTTGTCAAAATATGCATATCCAACCTGCATATGGTGCACACTGCACTGTTGGTACTTGGACGGATCGATATCTCCTCGTGCTTGGAGATGTTCAAATGTGTATCATCGAATTCAGATTTCAGGTGTCTAGTTGCTTAATAACATCACGGAGCAGTATTTTGTTTTACCTGTCGGTAGTCTATGGGCTATGGCAGTCTGCATTCCTGAATAATGCTCATACAGATATGAAGCTGCTCTGAATTTGGAACATTTTTTTCTGCATGTTTCTACCGCAAGCAAGAAATTAAACAGCCTGCATTCCTGAATAAAGGCTGTGTTTAGATCTAAAGTTTAGATCCAAACTTCAGTTCTTTTCCATCACATCAACCTGTTATACATACACAATTTTTCAGTCTCATCATCTTTAATTTCAACCAAAATTCAAACTTTGCGCTGAACTAACCACAGCCAAAGACAGACTGTGGCACTGTGCTGAACTCCAAGACATGGCCGTGGTTTCACCACCTCTTCGCTTCTTTCAGACGCAGGGTCACAATCCAATCGGTGTTGAAATCCAAAATCAAAGGGTGCTTGTTTTTTAAAAGGAAAAACGTCGAGAACTGGGGGTTGATGGTACATCTCAGTATCGTGCAAACACTGTAAAACTGTTCCTACTGTGATCGGCACAGCTTGGGCCCGACCAAGCTCTCGCAGATGATCCGAACTTTGACATCGTAGCAGGTACTCCTCCAATGGCTCCAATCCTCCGGCCTCTGGTGTCAGCGCGCACGTACCAACATGACGTGATAAAATGCACTGTGATAGGGGTGTTTATATCGGAGTGAAAAATTTTGACGTGTCACGTCGGATATACGGACACATATGTAAAGTATTAAACATAGTCTAATAACAAAACAAATTTTAGATTCCGCCTGTAAACTGTGAGACAAATTTATTAAGCATGATTAATCCGTTATTAGCAAATATTTACTGTAGCATCACATTGTCAAATCATAGAGCAATTAGGTTTAAAAGATTCATCTCACAAATTAGTCGCAGTCTGTACAATTAGTTATTTTTTTAGCCTATACTTAATACTTTATGCAGATATTGAAACGTTCGATCTGACACGATGAAAATTTTTGGGGTGGGATCATATTTCCTTCGTAAAGTAGTTGACCCACATTTCTTTTAGTACGAGTATTAACACTCTTCCATCAGCTTTCATTGACCTTGGCAGCTATAATCATTTCGCGAGCTTGAGACATGTAGGCCTGGCCTAAGCAACGTCGTCAAAAGAGCAATCCGTGCACCCTGTACTTAGAGAAAAAGACGATGGCATGCACACCTGGACACTGATGGAGTAGTCGAGTAGATGTGAACGATCATGTGATCGACTTGTGAGGGTTGCACAGTGCCCGTCTCCACGCGAGTTGGAATCGGAGAACGGAGGTCCACCACTCCACCAAAAGCTCACTTGCCTTTTGGACTTCACCGGGGTATGCGTGCGCTGCGGCACAGGACGCTGCTGGTGTCGGAGAGGGAGCGCTAGCGATTTGGACCGGCGCGAGCGAGAGGGAGCGCGGGGCCGCACGGAAGTTTTACAATTTACACACGCGCCCAGGCGGCCGCACTGGCGAGTCCACTGCCTACATTGTCACCACGCACGCATGCACGTAAACGCAGGCGCTCGCAAACCGCACGGAAGTTTTACAATTTACACACGGGGCTCGTACGTGTACCGTGCGCCCGTTCGCTCGGCTGGCTAGGCGGCTAGTATAGCTGCGTTTGTTTGCTGACAGTGCGTGTACGTTGCCTGCAGCTCTCCCTCTCCATCCAAGCGCTGGGCACACAGTATAACGGCAACAACGGCAGGCGGCGCCACAGCGTACGTATGGCGAAGTCGTCGCGTTTGTCCGCGTCTCGGCCTCTGCCCACCCGGAGACCACTACCTGCTAGCTTTGGCGGTGTGGCCAGTGGACAGTGGTCCTCCACGAACGAGCCAGCGAAGCTAAGAACCTTGCTTGCTTTGCGTAGTTAATGGTAAGTGAAATCATGTGGGGGAATGGGGATGTGCGTCCCGCGGCATGTGGTCTCAATTCTCATCGATCTGTATCCGGTGGTGGAGACATCCTGCTGTTAACCGGGACAACTTCGACTTTTCGAGGGGGATACTACTACTGTAGCGGTAGATTTGGGTTAGGCCGGAGTTTTTCCCAATTGTGAATTGTGATCTTGGTCGCTTGCCCCAACAAAATTTTCACGGAGAAAAATACAGATGCAATCATGCAAATATCCAGTTCTTTAAACTCTGCTGATCTGATTCAAACCTACTGGCCTGGCTCAGTGGTATAACTCACAACATTCACTGTTACAGAAAAACACATACAAGTCGGCACTATAGGTATTACAAGTTTAGAACAGTTAAAACCAACACATATAATGTTTTACTCGTCTCCATAGGTTAAAAAAAATATGTAACCGATACTTTTGAACAACTATATGTGTCGGTTCTTGAGAAAAAACGATATAGGTATCGGCACCTATTATATATTATAGGCGTTGGGTTAATTAAAAAATCAATACTTATAAAATATTATAAGTGCCGGTTTTTTTAAAGGCAACCTATAAATCGAGCCGAGCCGCATGGGGGAGGGAGAGAGCCATGTTGTTCTTATCCGTTCGCTCTCTCTCGCGCTTCACCCGTCCTTATCTCCTTCAGTCCTTCTCCTCCTCCCTCCCCCTCTCCCACCTCTCTCTCCTCTCTCTCATGGTGGCACGGTAGTGGCGCCCTTTCGTCAGCTCCTCACGCGCTAATACAACGGGCTCCTTCTCCAACCTCAAGGTGGCCATTGCGAGCTTTAGGAGTCCATATCCGGTCGCCACGAGCTCGGGGCGGCCTCCTCCTCACGACGCACACGGTGGTGGCAGTGTGCCTTCCCTTTGGCGGTGGTCCTCCCATCGCACCCTTCTCCAACCTCGGTCTTTTGTGATGAATTTTTCTGTGTAATTTAGATTTGCGATGAATTTTCTAAGAGATTTTGTGATTCAATCTTGGTATAAAATTCTTTGCTCGAAGCTTCGCATCGAGCAGCTTTTTTTATTATTATTCGGACATTTTTAGAACCGATACTTTTTATTTTTCTTATCCGTGCCTTCTTATAGGTGTCCGTTGGGAAAAATGGCATCTATGCCGTCTTTTATTCCAACCAGCTATCGCAACCGCAGTCCAGGTCCACACAACTCGCGTACGCTCGATGTGTGGTAACGGTGGCCCTCGCTTCAGAGCGATCTCCCAGAATGCCAGTGGACTGACGGCACATTGAAGCCCCTCTTCCTATTTTCCTATTTTTGGCACGGTCGAACTTGCGTCCTTTTGGCCGCCCTACACACTTAACTCCGGTGGTTGGATTACGACGATACTCCTGTATACCCGACGTTGATATCACATGGCGGAGTCATGTACGCGGAGCCATGGCGCCGCTGATGCCGCGTCGGCCGACTCTAAATTTCGGATCATATCAACACCCAAAAATTCGGATCCAGCCAGCTGCGCACATGCAACCGTGTGTTTGAATTCCGATGATTCGTTAGGATATCGCATGCAGTTGGTCCTCGAACGGGACCTCGCCTGCTTGCCCATCGGTCTCACTGGCTCACGGCTTCTCCGGCTCGCTTCGCTAGCCTTGGCGGTGGCCGGGGCCGGAACGTTACTGTAGCTTCAACGACGGACATGAATGCTCTGTACGATCGCTGTGCATGCAAGCTAGGATAATTAAGCAGGCAGAGGCAGGTGTAGGTGCCGGCCGATACTTCAGCACACTGCACACGTCCCTCCGCTGTCAGTTCCTGTTTTCATGGTATGCAGCAGGGCAGAGCATGCATGAATCATGATGCATATGGTCGAGCCCGAGAAGACGACGATTAGACTGTCTACAAGTGACCTATAAGGGCACCCAAATCTAAAATGGGTCTTCGATAGGACTATTTCAGCCTCCAACAGAGTACCTATACAGAAGACCCATTTTGTGTGCTATAAGAAGCATAACCTAAATCTGAGTATTCTCTCTCCTGAAGACCTATTTGCAGTAAAAGTTCTCTTTTAGGTCTTATTGTTGGAGAAGACCAAAAATAGGTATTGAACTCTTTGACTGTAGCGCTATGCAAACGTGAAATGTGTCTTGTATTTTGGGTTTCATTGTTGGAGATAGCCTTAGAGCGGAGGCGGTGCATGAAAAACAGATCATTTGCACAACACTTAAAACAAATATGTCTTCTGGAAATAC